CTGCCGGTGTCTACATTGGGGAGATTTCCCCTCACTTTCAGTCCAGAACAGGAAAAGACCCTCCTCTATGGGGACACAGCATTTCAAACCCAAACCCATTTGTAAAACTATGTAGAAAGTGTTGTCTAGAGTTGGGCTTTCAGTTCCCGAGTTTGGGTGGATGTCACTCTCTCCTTATTTGTTTTGCGGTGATTAGTCGTAGCCTTGGCTCGTTGATCACTTGGTTTGAAGTTAACGAGCTGTGTCCTTTCTTCTTCATGCCGTGCTGTGTATCAGAGTACTATTGTGTGTGTCCATTTGTCTGGGTTATCTGTGTGTGCCCAGATAGAGCACTCTGTGTGTGTGTATCTTTCTGTGTGTTCACAAGTGTCTCATGTTTGTGTGTCTCTACATGTATGATACTCTTATGAATCAGACTCATCAGGATCATAGACAAATGCACAGAAATAAAGCTAAAATGTGACCATACCTACCTCTGTTTTCCTATTATCTTCTTATATGATATATTTATTATGTTTATTTCCAGGCTACAGTGTGCTTTCAGCAAGTTACAGCAGTGTTTACCTTGCAGTCCTTTGTTGTGTTCGATTTCTCGTTTTACATGTTCTTACCCTTTTCCCCTGATTCCCTTATTGTTGTAACTATAGAGATTAGTAGATCGGCCACTAGAGGGGCTCTCAGTAGTTCTGTTCAATTATTCTACAGCTGGCCATACACATAAGGATTTTTCACGTTTAGCCATGTGGGCTGAACAAAAGGGAATTCTTTATATTTCTTAGTCTAAGCTTCCTCTACAGATGGTTTGTAAGTCAGAATGTGCAGTTAGTCACTGTGCAGCCAACAATTTTCCAAACTGTTCATTTTGCAACTGAAGTCAACGGGGCCACCCATTGCTTGCAATTTAAGTTGTGTATTGCTAGCATAAGGCACAAGCAATGTACTGTATTACTAAGCAGAAATTCCACATGCATATACAACACGACAAAGCATACATGGATATAGCATTGCCTGCCCACAAGAGCTAGCAATCTAAATACTATAAGAGCTAGCAATCTAAATACTATAATGAAAGACATCTACAGAACCAGTCCCTACATAAACTCCAGATGTCTACATACACTTCTGATGAATACATACACTCCTAAAGTCTACATACACTCCTAAAGTCTACATACACTTCTGATGAATACATACACTCCTAAAGTCTACATACACTTCTGATGTCTACATACACTCCTGATGTCTACATACATTCCTGATGTCTACATACACTCCTGATGTCTACATACACTCCTGATGTCTACATACACTGGGCAGGGACTGATGGGAATGTGACTTGTGTAAATTGTTGGTGTTTTGTAAATACCAATAATACATAAAAAAATAAGCTGAACAGGAAGTGAGGGTAGATCCTTTTAATGGGGACACTGGCAGCAATAAAAAAAAAACACTATCTATGGATTGCTGCCGGTGTCTACATTGGGGAGATTTCCCCTCACTTTCAGTCCAGAACAGGAAAAGACCCTCCTCTATGGGGACACAGCATTTCAAACCCAAACCCATTTGTAAAACTATGTAGAAAGTGTTGTCTAGAGTTGGGCTTTCAGTTCCCGAGTTTGGGTGGATGTCACTCTCTCCTTATTTGTTTTGCGGTGATTAGTCGTAGCCTTGGCTCGTTGATCACTTGGTTTGAAGTTAACGAGCTGTGTCCTTTCTTCTTCATGCCGTGCTGTGTATCAGAGTACTATTGTGTGTGTCCATTTGTCTGGGTTATCTGTGTGTGCCCAGATAGAGCACTCTGTGTGTGTGTATCTTTCTGTGTGTTCACAAGTGTCTCATGTTTGTGTGTCTCTACATGTATGATACTCTTATGAATCAGACTCATCAGGATCATAGACAAATGCACAGAAATAAAGCTAAAATGTGACCATACCTACCTCTGTTTTCCTATTATCTTCTTATATGATATATTTATTATGTTTATTTCCAGGCTACAGTGTGCTTTCAGCAAGTTACAGCAGTGTTTACCTTGCAGTCCTTTGTTGTGTTCGATTTCTCGTTTTACATGTTCTTACCCTTTTCCCCTGATTCCCTTATTGTTGTAACTATAGAGATTAGTAGATCGGCCACTAGAGGGGCTCTCAGTAGTTCTGTTCAATTATTCTACAGCTGGCCATACACATAAGGATTTTTCACGTTTAGCCATGTGGGCTGAACAAAAGGGAATTCTTTATATTTCTTAGTCTAAGCTTCCTCTACAGATGGTTTGTAAGTCAGAATGTGCAGTTAGTCACTGTGCAGCCAACAATTTTCCAAACTGTTCATTTTGCAACTGAAGTCAACGGGGCCACCCATTGCTTGCAATTTAAGTTGTGTATTGCTAGCATAAGGCACAAGCAATGTACTGTATTACTAAGCAGAAATTCCACATGCATATACAACACGACAAAGCATACATGGATATAGCATTGCCTGCCCACAAGAGCTAGCAATCTAAATACTATAAGAGCTAGCAATCTAAATACTATAATGAAAGACATCTACAGAACCAGTCCCTACATAAACTCCAGATGTCTACATACACTTCTGATGAATACATACACTCCTAAAGTCTACATGCACTCCTAAAGTCTACATACACTTCTGATGAATACATACACTCCTAAAGTCTACATACACTTCAGATGTCTACATACACTTCAGATGTCTACATACACTCTAGATGTCTACATACACTTCTGATGTCTACATACACTCCTGATGTCTACATACACTCCTAAAGTCTACATACACTTCTGGTGAATACATACACTCCTAAAGTCTACATACACTTCAGATGTCTACATACACTCTAGATGTCTACATACACTCCTGATGTCTACATACATCCCTGATGTCTACATACACTCCTGATGTCTACATACACTCCTAAAGTCTACATACACTTCTGATGTCTACATACACTCCTGATGTCTACATACATTCCTGATGTCTACATACACTCCTGATGTCTACATACACTTCTGATGTCTACATACACTCCTGATGTCTACATACACTCCTGATGTCTACATACACTCCTAAAGTCTACATACACTTCTGATGTCTACATACACTCCTGATGTCTACATACATTCCTGATGTCTACATACACTCCTAATGTCTACATACACTTCTGATGTCTACATACACTCCTGATGTCTACATACACTCCTGATGTCTACATACACTCCTAAAGTCTACATACACTTCTGATGTCTACATACACTCCTGATGTCTACATACATTCCTGATGTCTACATACACTCCTAAAGTCTACATACACTTCTGATGTCTACATACACTCCTGATGTCTACATACACTCCTGATGTCTACATACACTCCTAAAGTCTACATACACTTCTGATGTCTACATACACTCCTGATGTCTACATACATTCCTGATGTCTACATACACTCCTAAAGTCTACATACACTTCTGATGTCTACATACACTCCTGATGTCTACATACACTCCTGATGTCTACATACACTCCTGAAGTCTACATACACTTCTGATGAATACATACACTCCTAAAGTCTACATACACTTCAGATGTCTACATACACTCTAGATGTCTACATACACTCCTGATGTCTACATAAACTCCTAAAGTCTACATACACTTCAGATGTCTACATACACTCCTGATGTCTACATACATTCCTGATGTCTACATACATCCCTGATGTCTACATACACTCCTGATGTCTACATACACTCCTAAAGTCTACATACACTTCTGATGTCTACATACACTCCTGATATCTACATACATTCCTGATGTCTACATACACTCCTAAAGTCTACATACACTCCTGATGTCTACATACACTCTAGATGTCTACATAGACTCCAGATGTCTACATACACTCTAGATGTCTACATACACTCCTAAAGTCTACATACACTTCTGATGAATACATACACTCCTAAAGTCTACATACACTTCAGATGTCTACATACACTTCAGATGTCTACATACACTCTAGATGTCTACATACACTTCTGATGTCTACATACACTCCTAAAGTCTACATACACTCCTAAAGTCTACATACACTTCTGATGTCTACATACACTCCAGATGTCTACATACACTTCAGATGTCTACATACACGCCTGATGTGTACATACACTTCAGATGTGTACATGCACTCCTGATCTCTACATACACTCCTGATGTCTACATACACTCCAGATGTCAACATACACTCCAGATGTCTACATACACTCCTGATGTCTACATACACGCCAGATGTCTACATACACTCCTGATGTCAACAGACACTCCTGATGTTTACAGACACTCCAGATGTCTACAGACACGCCTGATGTCTACATACACTTCAGCGATGGCTACATGGAGTTTCTTAGGGTTGGGTTTTTAATGGTGACAACAAAGGACAATGTCTGTATAATGTGTACTATAATGGCAACTTGTAGTCTTCATCAGAAGCCCGTGTGACAGGGTGACAACGCAGGAGCACAATTGGTAGACTGGGCTAGAGTGTTGTCACCCTATAACATGAAGTGCCTGTATTAGATTATGTGGGTATGGCCACCACCAGGTTCCATTTTCATGAAAGCTGCAGATTTAATAATGGCTTTTGAAATGACATTCACTTTATAAAGATGATACAACATTTTAATGATGGAGTTTACATGTTTAAGTGACGTTAGCTGTTGCTTGCTACAAAGGCGGCTATCCGTCAAGTGCGTCAATTTTCCGGTCACTCGGACTTTAGATTACTATAAACCGAAATCTATTTATCAACAGGAATATTTAGTGGCAATGCAGCCGTAGTAGCCGAGCCTGTCAATTAAATTCTCAGCAAGCTTTGTATCTGTAGAGGAGGAGGAGGGGGGTGTTATACAGTGTATAGCCAGAGTTTGATTAAAGATTAACTCTGAACTCCACCCAAAGACAGCTATAGGCTTTCTTGCTCAGGTAGACCCTTGTAGACTGCTACCTCCAGTGCAATGTAAGGCCATTGGTGGAGGAGACGGGCTGGAGCCAATGTAGCCAGGGATTCAGAGGCCAATAACCCCCGGAGTGGTCAACTGCTGGAAGGCAGCCGTTGTTTGCTGATGATAATGAGAGATTCAAAACCTTTAATAGATATGGAAATGGCAGATTACACCGAGGCTCTGGATCCCGCTTACACCACTCTGGAGTTCGAGAATATGCAAGTGCTGACCATAGGGAATGGTAAGACTTGTCTGCTTGGGACATGGTGGAGTAGTTAGTTAGAAGAAGCATCTTATTGTTACTAATTATGATGGGTGATCAGACAACGCTGTGTATCCCTCGTACATGGCAAACCTTTACTCAGTTATGACTAGAGAAGAGTGTATCCCAGGCTAATCAATAATTCCCCAGCAGGTTGGTTCATGTACGTCGGTGTATGAATGCAGTGTAGTGTATATGAGTGGATGGCTTGCAGTGCATAGTGAAAATGTTTATTAGCCTGTACTGTGGCGACTCATGGAAAACTATATGTGGGTCACAATTTTTGGTTCTGACTGTATGGTTGACATTATGATTGATGAGCTCACTGCCCCGTCATCATATCATCATGTATCATTGTATTAAGGGATGACCACCCCGTCATTGGGTGGTGGCTACCCCGTGATAGTATTATGGTGTATCATTGTACTGAGGGGTGACGACACTGTCATCGTATTATTGTGTATCATTGTACTAAGCGGTGGCTACCCCGTCATCTTATCATGGTGTATCATTGTACTCTACTGAGCAGTGGTACCCCATCATCGTATTATGGTGTATCATTGCACTGAGGGGTGACAGCACTGTCATCGTATCATTGTACTAAGGGATGACTCCCCCGTCATCGTATTATGGTGTATCATTGTACTGAAGGGTGACTACACCGCCATCGTATCATGGTGTATCATTGTACTGAGGGGTGACTACACCGTCATCATGGTGTATCATTGTACTGAGGGGTGACGACACTGTCATCGTATCATTGTGTATCATTGTAATGAGGGGTGACGACACTGTCTTCGTATCATTGTGTATCATTGTACTGAGGGGTGACGACACTGTCATCGTATCATTGTAATGAGGGTTGACGACACTGTCATTGTATCATTGTGTATCATTGTACTGAGGGGTGACGACACTGTCATCGTATAATTGTAATGAGGGTTGACGACACTGTCATTGTATCATTGTGTATCATTGTACTGAGGGGTGACGACACTGTCATCGTATCATTGTGCATCATTGTACTAAAGGATGACTACCCTGTCATCTTATCATGGTGTGTCATTGTACTGTACTGAGCGGTGGTACTCCATCATCGTATCATGGTGTATCATTGTACTGAGCGGTGGTACGCCATCATCGTATCATGGTGTATCATTGTACTGAGCGGTGGTACTCCATCATCGTATCATGGTGTATCATTGTACTGAGCGGTGGTACTCCATCATCGTATCATGGTGTATCATTGTACTGAGCGGTGGTACTCCATCATCGTATCATGGTGTATCATTGTACTGAGCGGTGGTACTCCATCATCGTATCATGGTGTATCATTGTACTGAGTGGTGGTACTCCATCATCGTATCATGGTGTATCATTGTACTGAGCAGTGGTACTCCATCATCGTATCATGGTGTATCATTGTACTAAAGGATGACTACCCTGTCATCTTATCATGGTGTATCATTGTACTGAGAGGTGACTTCCCCATCATCGTATCATTGCGTATCATTGTACTGAAGAGTGACTACACCGCCATCGTATCATTGTGTATCATTGTACTGAGCGGTGGTACTCCATCATCGTATCATGGTGTATCATTGTACTGAGCGGTGGTACTCCATCATCGTATCATGGTGTATCATTGTACTGAGCAGTGGTACTCCATCATCGTATCATGGTGTATCATTGTACTAAAGGATGACTACCCTGTCATCTTATCATGGTGTATCATTGTACTGAGAGGTGACTTCCCCATCATCGTATCATTGCGTATCATTGTACTGAAGAGTGACTACACCGCCATCGTATCATTGTGTATCATTGTACTGAGGGGTGACTACCCCGTCATTGTATCATCACTGTACTGAGGGGTGACTGCCCCGTCATCGTATCATTGTGTACCATTGCACTGAGGGGTGGCCACACCGCCATCGTATCATTGTTTATCATTGTACTGAGAGGTGACTACCCCCTCATTGTATCATTGTACTGAAGAGTGACTACCCCATCTTTGTATCACCAACACAGCAGCACAGAGATGAGCACATCTCTCTGTCACTCTCCTCCTATCAGCGTGCTTCATGGCAGCACATGAACTGATTGGTTCATTGTTCTGGCTTTAGATACATTCATATTTCCCCATTATTTAGCTTTATTAACATTGTCTCGAAATAAAAAAATCAAAGGTCAACTAAAGTTGACACGATGCCAACTGCCTGATCCAACATGCTGTTTCCTAGCTCCTTAGAGCACATAACAGTTTTAAAAAACCGAGCCCTGCAGTTAAAGTCAAAGCTATGTAAACCCTAACAGTGAACTTCTGTTATTTCCTCCAGTCTGGTCTGTTAAATATACCATTGTAAGCATTTTGTTTTAGCTGCTTGATAATTGCAAAACAATACCTGGTTACCTGCCAGAAATCTTGTCAGCAGATCACTTCCTGTGCTGACTCCTATCAGTGATCATTGTTCCCAGTTCTCTCTGTGGACAGCAGAGCACCTGCCTTCGTATGCTATGGAGAAGAGTATTGAGAGGGTTCTATAGTCCAAAAACCCTTCGCCATTGCGCATGCATGGTCATCTTATTGACCCCTGATGGCGGCTATCTTGGTGATGGACGCCGGCAGAGAGAGGAGGGGACGTTCACCCGGCGGGATGAGGTATGCTGCCAGGTCCCCTCCTCTCTCCTGACAATGAGTGCCCGACTTTTCAGAGGGGGTGACACCAAAAGGACTATTGGTCTTTTTGGTGTCACCCCTCTAATGGTGGCACCCGGGTGCGGGCCGCACCCCCCTTGTGACGCCACTGGCCAATGCTACTTCAAAATTCAAGCTGACGCCTAACTTTTGAGGTTTTTTCTATTCGTTGTCATTGGAACCGGCTCCTAAAAAGTCCATCTGGCTCCTGGATTCTACATGCTGACTCCTGAATTCCATATCAATCCATATCAGAACAGGAAGTGATAACTGGCAGGATCACCAGGTGAAAATAAAAGACATAAAGTCTGAAGAAAAGAACTAACACAACCACCATATCTAAGGACCATTTGCAATGTATGAAATTTTTGTTTCTGGGTTAAGATACACATTAGGAGGAAAATAAAGAACTGTGGGGCTCTGCTATTTAATATTGTTATGCCCACTCAGGAGCTGGGGGACAGTATGTGAGGTCAGGCAGCTGGCATGGCAGCATCGGTCACACTTAAACTGACCCCTGATGTGTCAGGCACAAAGTAGGTCCATCCGCAGATATTATAGGGAGGTCTTGTGTGCGTGTATGATGTGACTACCCACTGTGTGGCTGAGCTTAGAAGTATGTTCTATGGAGAACAGAGGTGGACATGGTGGACGGGTGGCATGATGGACAGGCGCCAATGTATACCATGAACTGCATTCGACTATTGGTGGGACCATTGGGAAATGTTATCATCAAACAGGCACAGTGTATGGTGATGTCCACCAAAAGTCTATAGGTAAAATCTGGTGGCCGAATCAGATAGGATGGACCTCAGTCATATGAATGTCTTAAGGTAACCATATGAAATATGGTTGCTTAGCATCACATGTGGTTTCCTTGGTATACTTCATAAAATTACCAAATGGTGAAGTGTTTTCCAAATAAGAATGTGATTCCGCCTATCCGGGCATGGCTGGGTATAATTTGGTCATCTTCAGTGGTAGTGAGGGACCCCCACAGCAAATTTTCCCCTTAGTCCGCTTATGTCAGAGCATCCCTGCTTGATGTGTTCCTTAGCTGATGTCATTTTAAGAACCATTTCCAGGGGAACTTTATCTCCGAGATTGTGTTTTGGAGCTCCTTGCTGTGCAGAGTATTGAGCATCAGAAACCACTGCATACCCATTGATGGGTAGAATATTGAAAATAGATAAGCATTCAGTCAACCATTCTGAAAAATAATGATTTGATGAGACAAATGATTCATACTGAAATGAAGCACCTTTTGAAGAAGAAGTCTCAACATACACATCATTGCATCCTTCATCCTGTCCCCCAGGGGACATAGTGCAAGTAGCACCTTGTCCCATGTATATAGTAGCACTTTGTCCCATTTATATAGTAGCACCTTGTCCCATGTATATAGTAGCACCTTGTCCCATTTGCATAGTAGCACCTTGTCCCATGTATATAGTAGCCCCTTGTCCCATTTATATAGTAGCACCTTGTCCCATGTATATAGTAGCCCCTTGTCCCATTTATATAGTAGCACCTTGTCCCATTTATATAGTGCAGAGTATTGAGCATCAGAAACCACTGCATACCCATTGATGGGTAGAATATTGAAAATAGATAAGCATTCAGTCAACCATTCTGAAAAATAATGATTTGATGAGACAAATGATTCATACTGAAATGAAGCACCTTTTGAAGAAGAAGTCTCAACATACACATCATTGCATCCTTCATCCTGTCCCCCAGGGGACATAGTGCAAGTAGCACCTTGTCCCATGTATATAGTAGCACTTTGTCCCATTTATATAGTAGCACCTTGTCCCATGTATATAGTAGCACCTTGTCCCATTTGCATAGTAGCACCTTGTCCCATGTATATAGTAGCCCCTTGTCCCATTTATATAGTAGCACCTTGTCCCATGTATATAGTAGCACTTTGTCCCATTTATATAGTAGCACCGTGTCCCATTTATATAGTAGCACCTTGTCCCATGTATATAGTAGCACTTTGTCCCATTTATATAGTAGCACCGTGTCCCATTTATATAGTAGCACCTTGTCCCATGTATATAGTAGCACTTTGTCCCATTTATATAGTAGCACCGTGTCCCATTTATATAGTAGCACCTTGTCCCATGTATATAGTAGCACTTTGTCCCATTTATATAGTAGCACCGTGTCCCATTTATATAGTAGCACCTTGTCCCATGTATATAGTAGCACTTTGTCCCATTTATATAGTAGCACCGTGTCCCATTTATATAGTAGCACCTTGTCCCATGTATAT